GAGAGAGAGAGAGAGAGAGAGAGAGAGAGAGAGAGAGAGAAGGAGCAGAAGGTGGGGAAGGAAGGGAAGGACTCCAGCAGCGGTGGATGGAGAACTGAGGGTGAACCACGAGGACAGGTAGAGTGCGATTGTGGAGTGCAAACTGCTCCAAAGGGAAGGCGAGACCCCACTTCAACCACTAACCAGCAAGCACCCCTTAGAGTTCCCTCCACCCCTCCCTGAAGGGGTGAGCATGACACCCTCCCCTCCACACTCTCCTCCCAGCCCCCTCCAACACACATCAACAAATACAAAGAGTTTATGACATAACCTGGAGCTGCAAGGGCCTCTATAGTACCTGCTGTAGAGTTTTCCAAATGAGGAATGTGGATGCCACGGTGCCTCCGGTGGTCCTTGGGCGACATATTCAGATGGCACCTGGACCCAGCCTTCAGAGTCACTCAGTCATAAAATGCCGGAATTGCTTAGTTCTCAGCTCTCCTTCCGTCCCTCTCTACATCTAAGACTAAGTCTCCGTGGAAGCTGATGGGTCTTAAACTCCTCTCAGGCATTGATTTGTCACCCTCTCTCTTTCACAAAGACAGGGAGCCCCGAGCAGGCGGCAGAGTCACGTGGGGATGTGGGGATACAGCTGGATTTTCCTTGTATTTGTAGTGATGGCTTTGTTTTTGTTTTTGGCACAAAAGTGATTGCCCATTTACAGTTGAAATTTATTTAAATGAAAAAGTAAGTCAACATAAAGTCCAACCTACACAATAATAGAGGAAGAAGGAAGGTGGTATGCCCACGCTGTCATTGATGGCCAGAACTGAGCCCAGAGGGTTGAGCCTACCCAAGGGCACTCAAGGTCAAAAGCAGTTGAGCTGTCAGCCAAGCCAAGGGCATCTACACAGACTTCCCAGGGCCCGTCCTTTTCAACCTTAGTTTCACTGTAGGCCACCAAGCCTGGCCAGCACTTTACACATGGCAGGAACCCTGGGCTTGGATGCCGGCCAGTCACTCTGCCGTTTCCCAGCTGTGTGACTGGGGCAAGTGGCCCCATTTCTCTGGGCCTCAGTTTCTCCATCTGTGAGAGCGGATTAGAAATCCCAAGGGGCAGGTGGCATTGGGTTCCATCACTGAGCAGGTGATGTTGTAGGCAGACCACATCCTCCCCTTCCCAGTGCTGTGACCTTGGGGATGTCCCCTCACCTCTCTGGAAAATGGGGGTGGGGTTGTTGTGAAGGTCAAAGGGATAAAATCACGTGTGTGTTGCAAGGGGGAAGGAGAGAGAAGCCTGGTCAGGTAGGTAGGTCGAGGTTATGTTGCCTAGACTTTTTATTCCCAGGATTAGAATAACCTCATGGCTGCTCTCCAGCAAGTGAGAGGTGGCCCTTTGAATGAGGGAAGATGGATTTTTTTTTCCCCTCCTCCACCAAAACTGGACTCTCCTTGGGGTTTGGCAGGATCCCAAGGGGTGTAATTCCAGCCAGGAAGCCGGGGAGCCCAGGCGGACCGAGGCCCGTGATTTTGCCTCTTTGGCCGTCCCGTCCCGGTGGCTCTCCGGGCGTTTCTGACCTTGAAAGGAGTTTTGTTCTCCAGATAATGTGCTCAATGTCACCTGGGAAAATCACGCTGACTGTCCAGGTGCCCAGAAAGCTAAATGAGGCATTATAACCCACAACCACATCCGGCCAGGCTCCCCTGAGCTGGACTCCAGCTGAGGGACGCTTGCAAGGGACTGGGCAATTTCTCCTCCTGCTCAGCAGTAACTGTCAGTGGCGGTCAGCGCTTCTTGAGCACCCGCCAGCCCCGTGCTAAACACGTGGAGCACCTTGTTTCATTTAAGCCTCACGGCTGCTGGGTGCTAAGTCCTGTTGTCTTGGTTCCCATTTTACAGATGACAAAACGAAGGCTGATTTTATACCCGCCAGAGTGGCGGACCAGGGACTTTCACCCTGGGGATCGGGCACCTGACTCTGGGCCCTAAGCCCAAAGTGATATTAAAGGGTTAGATTAAAAGTAAAATACCCCAGTGGTTTCCTGGGGCTGCCCGGGCGGTCGCCCCTCCCACTGCTGCAGCAAGGGAGCATGGACAGTCCCTGGGGAGCCCTCGTCGGCCAGCGCGGGAGAGCTGGGATTTGGGAGTCCAGAGGTGGCTGCTAGTGCCTTGTTATGTCCCCAAGCCAAGCCCCTCTCTTATCCTGGCTTCCATATCCTCATCGGTCAGCTGAAGGGGTTCATCATTTATTCAGCTTACACGTGCCCAGCTCTGTGTGACCCTCACAGATACAGTGTGAATAGAACATAAGTCCCTGCCCTCAAGGAGCTTAGGGCTTTGTGGGCTAGACAAATAAACAGGGTAGAACAAATATGGCGCATCTGTCCTTCCATCCACCCCACCCTCCCACCCATCCACCCAGGAACTATTCTAGGTGCTGGGGATTTAGCAAAATTACTGTCCTCACGGAGCTCGCACTTTTGGGAGGAAGACAGTAAGAAAGAAACAAGTCAACAAATAAGGTGGCAGATGTCAATAAGTGCCAGAGAAAAATGAAGCAGAGAGAGGGATGCTGAGCGATGGGGGATGGTCATGGAAGCCTCAAAGAAGGTGACCTTCGAGCAAGAGCTGAGGGAGGCAGCCATGTGGGCATGTGGGGGAGGAATATTCCAGGCAGAGGGAGGAGCAGTGCAAAGGCCCTGGGGTGAGCGAGTGCTTGGCATGTTTGAGGAAGCAAAGGCCCGGGTGACTGGGAGGAACGAGGAAGGGGGTGAGTGGTGGGCCTCGTTGGCAATGGAGATCGTTGGCTTGGACTTCTGAGTGAGTTGGGGAGTCTGCCGATGGTCTTGAGCCGAGGAGTGACATGACCTGTCTTGTGTTTTAAGATCGCTCTTGCTGCTGGATGAAGAGTAGGTGGAAGGGAGGACAAGGGAGAAGCAGTCAGGAGGCAGCTTCAGACAGTCAGGTGAAGGACACCGCTGGGTGGAATGGAGGGGCAGAGAGAGAGGGCGGGGCAAGGAGTGGCTGGAGTCTAGATCTTTGTTGAAGGTCAAGGGTCAAGCCAGCCGGAATTGCTGATGGAGTGGACTTGGAGTGTGAGAGACCACGATGCCCCCAGGGCTTTTGACCTTGGCACCTGGGACAGGGGCGCTGCCATCACTGAGATGGGGGAGGCAGGGTTGCTAGGAGAGGGACGGGTCTCTGAGTGTGATGTAGCCTAAGTGAAGTTTGAGGTGTGCATTTCACCAGCCCTTCGACAAACAGAAGCGGAAGGCATGCCCCACACCGAGAGAAAGCGCAGGGCCGTGTTGGGGGCAGCATGGAGCGGGGGCACCTGATCCAGCCGGGGGCACGTGATGTCCAGGCTGAGATCTGAAGATGGGCAAGTCGGACCGGGGAGGACTTTAACCTGCACCCTTTGTCTCCTCCCAGTGGCACAGCCGGGTACGCTGGATTTCTGGTTCTGTTCCAGGCTCTGGTACAAGTTGGCTGTGTGAGTTGGGTCTCATGCAGTGTAATGGCTCAGAGCCTCAGTTTCCCCATTGCAATGCAGTGAGTCTTTGTGTGCCCCCCACACCCAATTCATATGTTGAAATTCTAACCCCCAAGGTGATGGCCGTAGGAGGTGGGCCTGTGGGAGGTGATGAGGCCATGAGGGTGGTGCACTCCTGTGGGATTAGTACCTTATAAAAAAGACCTCAGAGAGCTCCCTTGCCCCTTCCTCCTTGTGAGGCCATTAGGAACCAGGAAGTAGGCTCTTACCAGACACCAAGTCTGCCTA